GAAAATCCTAAGAAATTTACTCTCCCTCCAAAAAAAAACCCAACAAAACAAATAAGAAGCAAATAAGTAATGTTGCAGGAGATAAAGATTAAAAAAAAAGTCAACTTTTTCTATATACCTGTAGAGCTGGAAAATGAAAAAATATTTACAAAAACATAAAATACATTACAAATCATCAAATTAACTGAAAATAAATCTAATAAAACCTCTACAGTGAAAACTATGAAATACTGTTGAGAAATTAAAGACCTAAATTAATGGAAATATAAACATGTTCATGGATTAGAAGACTCAACATTCTTTTTTTTTAAGATTTTATTTATTTATTTGACAGGGAGTACAAGCAGGGGGAGTGGAGGAGGGAGAAGCAGGCTCCCCAGTGAGGAGGGAGCCCGATGCGGGACTCAATCCCAGGACTCCTGGACCACGACCTAAGCCGAAGGTAGATGCTTAACCACTGAGCCACCCAGGCGCCCGGAAGATTCAACATTCTTAAGATCTTCATTTCTAACCCAAAATAATCTATAAATTTAATGCAATCCTTTACCATAATCCCAGGAGAATTTTTGTTAGAAACTGACATTTACAATTTATATGGAAATGCCAAAGTCATAGAAGAGCCAAAGCAATCTTGAAAAATAAAAGCCCTTACAGGACCCCTACCACATGATTTCAAGACTTACCATAAAGCTACAATAATCACAACTGTGGTGGTGATAAAAGTATGGGCAAGTAGATCAACTGAACAGAAGAGAAAGTCCAGAAATAGACCAAACATAGAGCCAAATCATTTCTGACAAAGGCACTAAAGTGATCAAATCAGAGAAAGAAAAGACTTTTTAACCGGTGTTCCTGGAACTGCAAATCCAAAAGGAAAAATGAATGCTGATCCTGACCTCACGTTGCACATAAAAATTAATTTCATGTGGATCACAGACCTAAATGTAAAAGCCCAAACTATAAAGCTTTCAGAAGAAAAAGCAAGAATATTTCCACAAGCATGAAACAAAGATTTCTTAGAGAAAAAGAATTAACCATAGGAGAAAAAAAAATTTGTTTAAGGACTTCATCAAAATTTAAAATTTCTGCTCATCATAACACAGCAGTAACAAAACACACAAGCCACAAAAAAGAGAAAATATTTTAATATATAACAGAGACCTTTCATCCATAATAAAGAACTTCTACAATCTACTAACCAAAAAAACCCCAATAAAAACAGATAATAAGACAGTTACTTCGCAATCAGTGGTATAAATGACCACTAAGCATACAAAAAAGTGCTCAGCATCATTTGCTGCCAGGGAAATGCAAACTAAATGCCACAGTGAAATATGACTAAAATAAAAAAGATGGCCAAGAGCAGATGAAGCAACATGAAGGCTTACACATCACGGGTAGCAGTAGACCCACTCTGGGAAATTATAAAGTAAAACACACATACATCTAGCAATTCCTCCCTCAGGGGATTGATTACACAAGAGAAATGAAAACAAATGTCTATAAAGAGCCAGTACAAGAATGTTCATATCAGCTTTATTCACCACAGCCAAAAACTAGAAATAGCTCAGGCTTCCATTAAAGAGAAAACAGATAAACAAACTGGTATGTGTTCGTACAGCATAGTATTATTCATCAATAAAAAAGAAGGAAATACGGTTACACAAAACCCTGGATGAATCCCTAAAACCATTATGTTAAGTTAAAGAAGACAGACACAGAAGAGTACACACTGTATGAGTTCATTTACATGAAGTTCTAGAAAAGGCAAAACGAATCTGTGCTAATAGGAAGCAAACCAGTGGTTGCTTCAGGCAGAAGGGGCTAAGAAAATCTTCGGAGCTGATGAAACGGTTCTATAACCTGACAGGAGAATGGTCGCTGCTGATCGTGCACATTGGTCAAAACTTTTCAACCATTAAGATAAGGCCATATTAAAATATATATAGATAGATGTATGTATATAATAATGCACCGGGGGGGGGAGATATAGTGGCCAAAGTCAGAATGAACTGGGGCTTCTCAATCATGTACAATTTAATATTTAGAGCCTTCAAAATAGTCCACACGTATTTTGGTACTTGAAAAGATTCCTCTTCCATCTTCGCTACCCTAAACCTCAGGGCACAAAAGTGCCTTTCCTAAGTCAAACCAGACGGTGTGCCACGGCCACTCACTTTGGGTACCCAACTCACACAAACTTCGTGTGTGTGGCACAGAGTACAATGACTGCCATATTTTCTGGTCACCGTCTCTTCACATACAGACAAACTTGAATTTATTAAGATGCTGACAAATTAGGGACAGAAAAGGGAGAACTTTTACCAAAGCAATACTCAACAGAAATTTCCTGGGCAGGGAAGACATTTTACCTGTGAGATGGAGCCTCCCAGGATGAAAGATGGTTTTTCTGAAGCCACTGTGGTTTTGGATGATGGGATGAGAGGAGGAGGTGGCCTGGTGGGTCGAGTTGTCGGAAGCCGAACCGCTTCAGGGAGATTAGTTATCACTTGATGCGGAGCAGGCTGCAGGACTTTGAAGGGGAGGGGAAAAATGATTTAAAATCGACAATTTCATAGCTTGCAACACTCTACCTATCTCAGTCATTCCCAAATTTTCATATCACACACTGAATTTTAAGTGCAAGATGAGGCTGAGGAGGAATATTTCTATTTTGAATTTCTCTTTCACTTGAATTAAATCCATATACATATTCGGGTCACACGTGGTATTTGTGAGGCTGAAATATTCAACTCCCTGTGAAGCCAGAGCTTTTAAGCTGATGTTCATTTCAAACTATCTCTGCTCAGCATAGGCAAAGGACAATCTTTCACAACCTTTTCTCTCTCTCCATCACTCTTTGGACCGGCTTCTTAGGAGCAGCTGATACTCCAACTCTGTAGAACGCACAGACATGGCCGACCACCAGCTGGACACCCTCTCTACATCTGGCCTACTTGGAGAAACGTTTACTGATCCTGGCTCTCACAGACTTGAATTTCTTGTGGTCGGGGCGGGGACCTAAAGATTTTTTCAAAGTACATACATATACCCTTAAAAGCCAGTCAGTGTCACAGTATACATGTGTGAACACGAATTTCCCAGTGGCCCAGTAAAGCTCAACTGAATACAACAGACGATGGGATGCACAGAAACAAGAAAATAATTCTGAAACAGGAAGGACACGTCTGGGAAAGGCAGTTTGTTCACGAGCTCAAACCACCTGAGCCTAGCATCTGTAGGGAGATGGCCAGCAGCCACCGCACGGAGGAACAGTATTTACCTGGCGGGACACTATAGCGGGCTGCACTCATATCAGGCTGTGGAGCGGCTTTACTGACTTCTCTCGGAGAGAGCCTACACGGTGAGGCTGACCTTGCTGCGGGACTGTGCATCTGTGCTTCCTGTTCTAGAGCACGTTTGACCTCAGCATAAGGCATATAGGCGACTGATTTTCCTATGAAAGTTAAAGTTATCAAAATGAGGGAAGAACCCCAAATTAAAATAGTAAGTGCGAAAGGACCAAGCCCACACCATCCAGGGGCAGATCCGACTATATATACTAATATTAAAATCTAAAATTCCTGTAGGGGGAGGGGAGTCCACCCACAGAGAGGTTTAAAAACCCTATACATCTAAATCTTCTGTGTATGCACCATCACTATGACCTAATAAAACCCTCAAAACTTCAATTATGATGTTTCCCTTTAAAGGAAAAAGGACATCTCTTCCTTCTTAGGAAAATCAAGTGTTTTCACATGCAATAAAGATCACAAGAGGCAAACATCAGATTATCCAGCCATTTGGAAAATGCAAGTCTTGCTTGAATCAGTCATATCTCTGAGAATTTCAACCCTTATATTTAGCCTGTTGAAACACACCACTTAATTTTCAGAGAAATAAACATAATTAAGAAATGGAAGAAGCCTTTCTTAGAAGACGCAGATCAAACTAATCCAAAAAAAAAACCTACACAAGCTTATAAAACTATGAATTTTACTACCAGAATGCTAATAAAAATTACTCCAGGGGCACCTGGGTGGCCAGTCATTAAGCGTCTGCCTTCAGCTCAGGTCATGAGATCCCAGGGTGCTGGGATGGAGCCCCACATCGGGCTTCCTGCTCAGGGGCAAGCCTGCTTCTCCCTCTACCACTCCCCCTGCCTGTGTTCCCTCTCTCGCTGTGTATCTCTCTGTCAAAGAAAGAAATAAAATCTTGAAAAAAAAAAAAGACTCCATATAATTTACCTCCACATAAAGTATAAAAAAACTTATTTAAAGGGCATATCAGATATGCAGTCACATTAAGACTTAAAAATACATATAATTATATATATTATATAATTTTTTTCCTTTTTAAAATGAAATTGACATTGTAATTTTGGAAAATCAGAGAAGCACAAAGAGGAAAAGGAAAATCATCTGTAACCCAAACCACTTAAATGTGGGCTATTTTAATGTCTGACAGAGCAAATTCCCATTCATTTTCTTATTCTTTTGCTTACCTAGTCTTACCCATTTATTCTTCCAGATAAATCAAAATTTAAAATCATTCTCCAAACAAGATGTCACTGCAATTTTCATTAGACTTGCATTAAATTTATGAATACAAGACACCTGATGCTCTATAATAATGAGCTTTCTAACCGAGGAACCTAGACTTTTTCGTATAGGTCTTATTTATAAATTCCTTGTTAAAAATTATTTGTAGGTATTTTACATTTTGTGGCTAGGAAAGCCATCTTTTTCATATGCATGAGTTTACTTGTATAAATGATTACTGCAGATCTATAGGAAAGAAAGATGGCGATTTCTGTAGACCCTTTTTTTTTTTCTAAGAAACTTGAACTTTCCTTTTTGTTCTAATCACTTTTCAGTTGGTTCTTGTAGGCTTTCTAGGTGGATAATCTTCTCCTGTGAACAATGATTTATGTTCTCCCTTCAAAAAGCTACTTCTATTTTTGTTTCTCTTTTTCTTTACTGCACAACAGTAAGTAATAGCTGGCACCTGACAGTTTCCATCCCGAGAGAAGGTCTCTAGCATCTCACTATTAAGTGGAAGGTTTATAATTGGGTAAAGATTCATTAGCACAAGGCATAAATGTTCTCCAGCTTACTAAGGTATTTTTAAAAACCAGAAACAATTCTAGTAATACCAGCTAATATGATGTACTCTGTGCAGAGCACTGTGAATCACATGAATTATCTCACTGAGCCCTCATGCCCCGTGGGATGATTAACACCATTTCATAGATGAGGAAACTGAACCTCAAAAGAATCACACCACAGTGCCCAGCCAAGGTCATGCTACCAGCAGTGTAAGCCTGACTCTGAGCTCGAAACCACGTGGCAATAATGTCTCGCTAAAGCACTGGGCGTTGAATTTCAGATGCCTGTGGGGTATCCATCAAGATGATGGTACTCTTCCCTCCTTAGACACACTGATATAATGAATTAGATTAAATGTCCCAACACTGTGCAGATTTATAAAATAAACCAAAAGAAAATCATGTCTTCCTTTCTAGAGAATTTAACATGGTAAAGCTATTATTATAAATTCTGTGTGACTGTTTTACCATTTCCAGTAAGTTTCTAATAACGTGGAAACTATCTTGTCAAGGTAGTGTTAAAGAAAAAGCGGAAATTTAGATGGTTCTAAATACAGGTATTTAAGTCTTCATGTACTCAGAGCTGAAAAAATAAACAACAAAATAAACAGACTAGATTCAGTTGCAGAGAAGCATTAACTCTTAAATGGACTGAACTGATTCTGTTAAACCTGCATTGCAAGTTCAATTCTAACTCTCTACATGTGTGCGTTTGAGTTTCCTCACTCCAGAAAAAAAGGATTCACGCTGAAGTAGGGGTTACCTTGTGTAAATGCTCCTGGAAAGTGAAAACAACTGTTCTCTCAGGTTTTTCCCAAGTGTTTCTACAGATGTAAAGGCTTACACCACTTAAAAAGGGTACACCTACAATAATTATTTCTGCCACTAACATTATGATGAATACAATCAAACACATGCTGCCTATTACTTTCTAAATGAGACCATGAAGGGAAAAGTCAAAACCATGGTCCTAATTCAAGCAAACTGTACCAGTTTAGTGACAGTTTATAGGTAAATCCACATTCTCACTATATTTAACATTCTATGGCAATGCATTGAAAACATTTGTATCAAACATTCTGCATACAAGCAATTTAATGGTAAGTATATGATTATACAAGGGAGATGTGTAAGTATAAGGGAAATTATCCTTTATACTGAACTAGCTATAAATTCAGGAGAGTCTTCAGGCACTTCGTTAAATAACTACACATACTAGATGAGCTAAAACAGAACTTACCCTTGAGATAAAATGTAATCAACCACCCCAGTTTCTGGAGTCACCTTGAACCAAACTGATGTCATATTAATAAACACCTCAGTATCACATTAATAAAAAATATAATTACAGTATGGTTTTAAAACCACTGCATTATAAGGGGCGCCTGGGTGGCTCAGTTGGTTAAACCGCTGCCTTCAGCTCAGGCCATGGTCCCAGGGTCCTGGGATCGAGCCCCACGTCGGGCTCCCTCCTCAT